TATATATGTGTATATATATATATATATATATATATATATATATGTGTATATATTTCTATTTTGAATGTCCTTCACATAGTACTTGTTCAACTGCAAGAGAATGACGCAGGTTGATTTCATGGTTACTGTAGGCCCCTGAAGTGGCTTAGGTTAGTATGGAGAACAGAATCACATAACAGGCGGCTGGGTGGTAATTAGGAATGATGCTACACAACAAATATTAAGCTGTCTGACATGGTAAAGAGAACCAAACATGGCCAAAATCTACACATCACTGAAAACAAGTTGGTACCTAGTCGGGGTTATTAATAGTCACGCTCTATAAATAGGTATGGCGTAACAGCAGGCAACACTGATTGGTCAGTGCGGCTGTCCATCATCAGACACGTGGTGCGTCGGAAGACGACGCTCATAGCTGGAGGGATGCAGTAAGCAGTGAGGTCAAGGTTATTGCTGTACCATACACGTATAACCACTTACAGGCCATATATACTTCCAACAGTCATGAAAAGTTGGATTACTACAGGTACAATATAATAATCTATTCCACAAGTGCGTCTGCTGGGGTGTGGCATGAGTAAATGTCCTGTAGTTGTGTTCTGGGCATATCAGTATTAAAACTGACATCTAATTTAACAAAGTAAGTAAACTGTAGTCATGCCGTGGGCTTGGAAGTTGGAAATAAAATTGTCAGAGAACACTGGGTAAAAGATAACTTTATAAGTTCATCATATTTTATAATGGTCACTACGATATTTGCTGTGTGATATTGAATGTTGTGATGAGATGGGTATGTTTCAGAATATCACAGACTGAAATTATTGTTATTATTTTTCTTAATATTTCCTGATTCAGGAATCATTTGTAAGCTAAATAAGCAGCATGATTATTAAAGTATGGCCTGGAAATCTAAATTCTGCTGATTCAATAAAGAATTAAAGATTGAACACATTTTTATTATTCAATTTAACTTCTCTAAATCATAACACTTACATTCTGACATTTTCATTCATCCCTTTTTTATGTGGTACAACAAAAAGCCGTCCCAAGTCCTGTCTTTCACTTTATCTGAACTACTTTCCAGTTAGTGAGCATGAAGAAATCCATAAAGTGATGGGCAAAGTTTCCCACATGGAGAGCATTACATTAAAAAATGGCTTAATTTACAATTCTTAACATCTAAATTAAATACATGAAATGTCACATCAAATAAAGGAAAGCATTTTCCCCGGTAATGGATACAGCCCACATCAATAGCAAATGCATCAACCAACCAGCCATCCGATCTGTATGCAGCACAGAACCATACCAAATGACACTCCATAATAGGTGATTATTATTAAGCAACTCCTTCTGAGGCAAGATCTTGCCCACAGACACCCCAGTAATGAACAGATTGCATAGATGATGAGTGAAAAGACAGCTAAACAATTAAAATTAATATAAAAATTGCAACAAAAAAATAAGAAGAACTTGTAAAAAAAAAAGTATTCATTTTAACCTCTCTGTTCATCTGGGTTTGGCACAGTGGTTGGCACTGTGGGACCTGGTCTCTGCCATGGCTCCATGTGTGTGGAGTTTGCGTGTTCTCCCCGTGTCATTGTGGAGTTTGCGTGTTCTCCCCGTGTCATTGTGGAGTTTGCGTGTTCTCCCCGTGTCATTGTGGAGTTTGCGTGTCCTCCCCGTGTCATTGTGGAGTTTGCGTGTCCTCCCCGAGTCATTGTGGAGTTTGCGTGTCCTCTCCGAGTCATTGTGGAGTTTGCGTGTCCTCCCCGTGTCATTGTGGAGTTTGCGTGTCCTCCCCGTGTCATTGTGGAGTTTGCGTGTCCTCCCCGTGTCATTGTGGAGTTTGGGTGTTCTCCCCGTGTCATTGTGGAGTTTGGGTGTTCTCCCCGTGTCATTGTGGAGTTTGCGTGTCCTCCCCGTGTCATTGTGAAGTTTGCGTGTTCTCCCCGTGTCGTCGTCGTAGGGTTTCCTCCCGGTACTCTGGTTTCTCCCCATATTCCAGTAACATGCCGAGGTTAATTAAAGTTACCAAATTCCCAGTAGGTGTGAGTGTGCCATGCCAAGTGTTGTCACCCCCTCCCCCCCCCTGGGTTGTTCCCTGCCTTGCGCTCATAGCTTCTGGGATGTGCTCTGGTCCCCTGTGACCCTGCATAGAAACAGAAAATGGATGGATGGATATTTTTGTTACATATTTTCCAGATGCTTTTCCTAGTCAGGATTACCTGGGACCTGGAGGCTGAGGCAGAACAGAGAACTAGGCTGGGGTTCACCCTGGGTATGATTCCAATTCATCACAGGGCACAAACGCACAAACATACACTAGGCAACATACTGCACACTGGGCATTTAGACATGCCAATAAGCCTACCTATATGTCACTGAAATTCAGGAAACCCACAAGAACCTGAATGTGGGTTGCAGAGAACATGCACCCCCTCCACGCACAGAATGGAGGAAGATTTTTAACCCCAAATCCTGGAAATGTGAGGCAAAAATGCTCCCTGCTGATGCACCGACACCCAGAACATATTTGTGTTAGGAAGGAATTTGACCTTTTCCTCTCTGCTTCTCTTTTACGTGAGCTGTTCAGTGCATGTATTACATTTACCATGATTGTCATTCTTGGTTGGTGTGGAACACAGACAGAATTTTAAGCATTTTAATTTCGACACCTTCAGTGTTGAGACTTCCAAGCTAACAGCACAATGACAGACAGGCAAAGGCGGCAGAGTGACAGGAGTTGGTTGGGGAACACAAACCGTTCTGCATTTTAATTCCAGTCTCAGGGTGTTGAAAGATTGTAGATAGTGGATCGGCGCTTCCCCAGAAAAAGGAATTTAAAAAATTACAGTTTAATGAGAATTTTGTTACTAGTAGAATCTGATCACTTGGAACCAGTTTCATAAAGTAACCCACTTTCTAAAACCAAGTCTTACAGTAAGGCTGTGTCATGTTTGACAGAACTGGCGATTATCTTAATTGGAGAGAATGGTGTGTTATTCTGTCCTGGTTTAATGTAGTCTTGCTGAGCCTGACTGTTAGCTTTTCAAGTTAAATCCCTGGAACTGTGGTCACGCTGTTAGCATCATACTGTTGTTGGCATGCTCGTCAGCCTAACTTACTCTGTCTAATGGATGGAACAGGAGAACTCAACAGCTGTTGGAAAGATTTAAATTATAATTTGTATGTGTTCTGGCTGCAGATGTGTGTTGCTGCAATATAATAGAATTGCTGTAAGAATACTAAACATTAAACATTTTTATAATTATTAATTGTCATTTTTATATCACAGTCAGTACTCAGTTGTACTCAGTAGTCATTCCTGTATCTACCACTGAGGACACGGAGGTCATCTCCTCTCTATTTTTTCAGATTTTTTTTTTTTGCTATCTTGTTACTGAATTTTTTCAAAATGGCTATTACTGCTTTCAGAAACATGTAAAAATTAATTTACACTGTAGCTAAAAGAAAAAAAAAAAATCAGGATCAAGTCTGGAGACCCTCATAGGAAGGACTCACACTTTTGACCTCGGTATTAAAAATACTGGGACCGGCCCTGCCAGTACCACTTTAAGTACATGTATGTCAGTCTTGGATTCATATGCAGTTTGTTTTAATGTTATGGTAATTGCCATTAATACCGAGTTAATCAATAACTAAGTGTTAATCTGCGATGAGTCGTGCATCATGCGTTTTTGAAAGCACGGCTGTAAAACGCCGCTTATCGGTTATGTAACTCTTGTTTGTATCAGTCCAGATTTCCACAGCGGTGCAACAGTACTATTTCCAAATAACGATGATAGTTTATGTCAACATTTCATATTTGGTGCACTACGCTGAAAATTACGTCTTCAGCTCATAAACAAGAAAATCTTTCTGCACGGACGTGTAAGCTTCTAGTAACCATGCCATAGGCAGGTAAATGCGCTTGAACAAGGGCCTTATTCCATAGAGATCTTGAATAAATTGCAGCTACACAGGTTTGGAACCAGAATGGCGCTTAATAATAAAATAACCGTTTACTTTTGCCCGTGACCCACGCGGCTCTGAACTCCCCCACATCCAGTGAAGTCAGAGGGTCATCACAAAATGTTTCTAAATGCAGCAATGCAGAGGCAAAGAAATGTAAGTACATGTTCAGCCATTGCATTGTTAAGTTGGCTTTATGTAGCTTCTGGGAGTCGTCCGGGTTATGGGTAGCGAAGGGGCACTTCTGACGGACAGTGCTATTGGCTGCCGTAAACCCACTGTCACGACGGTATATTAAGTTTCCCCTCGGCACGGATCTACAGGCAAACATTAAAATGCAATTTGTAGCAAAGTCCAGCTTTCCTATTGTGGCACTATTGATTGCACGCACATTGCAACAAAAGCACCATCAGAGACTGAAGCTGCCTTTGTGAACAGAAAGCAGTTTCATTCCATCAATGTGCAGCTCATCTGTAATGCCAGCATGGCGTTAAGAAATGGCCTGGATCCATGCATGATGCTTTTATTGTATGGAACAGCAATGTAGGATGTAAACACTTCGAGATGAATGGCCGATTGGTAAGCTGAATGCACATGTATGTAATATGGAATGTACGGCAGAGTATCTGTATATACGAGGTCGCCTTTCACTGGTATGTCCACGTGCCACGTCAGACAATGCTCACCTGCTGAAGCGCTGACTGTTAACCCCCATGCCGGTTCAGTGGGACACACGGAGTGGCACACTCACTGATAAAGTGCATCATAGGTTCTCTGAAAAACAGGTGGTGATGTTTGGACAGCTCAGCCATTCTGTTATACCACCTGACAGAGGTGTGCAGCATCATAGCAGAGTGCTGTGTCCTGCACAACATAGATCAATGTCTCAGTCCGCTGTGACACTGATGCATAGGTGCAGCAGAATGTAACAGACGCTGGAATACTTTTTGACTGATTTGTTTTTAATGGGACGCACATTTTGTCCAAAGCCCCTCTAATTCCCTGCTGTTGTGCAGTCATGGTCCTGAGCTCTTTGACAGTCTGCCTCTGTAGGTCCTTGCTAGCGTCTGTGAGGACATGCCAACGTGCGGTGAATGTACCAACTAAGTTCGGCATCAGCCTCGGGCTAAAAAACCTTACAAGCTTATTGGATGAATAGGACAGATTAATTTAAGATCAACCAAAAATTATGCTAAGAATAACTATCAATTTGTATCTCAAATGAAGTGTATAGTTCTGAATTTCATGTCATGCTCCATGTTATCAACTTAATGCTATACTTCAGCTAAAATTGCAGTTCTACTAAGGATTATCTTCCAATTCAATTAAAGATTTTCTTCAATAAAAATATGACAAAGTGGAGCCCTAAATCTGAATGGCAAATGGATGAGTGGGTATCCTTAGGATGAACAATCATAATTTATATAATTAGGGATCAACATGATTGACCATTTGCAGAATACACACTCTTTCGACATGCCTTCTCATGCTGTTAGTGTAACTGCAGCAAGCAGACTTTACACAGAGCTCAGGAAGATAAAAGCATGCTTGTTACCGATATATACATCATGAATAATTCTATCAGCCACTCGGGGGGATCCCAGTGGTTAGACATTCTGCTTCTAATTACATTTTCATGCAAATTTGATAGTGGAGTTCATTATTACCATCAATTCCTTGGGTATTGCTGTGTTGAATTTTTACAATCCTTTTGCTTATTACACAAACATCAAAATAAGCAAAATGGGGCAGAGTGCTGGCAGTTACCAACTACTGCTCATAAACCAATAATAGTAAGATATTGTTACAGAATCTCACCTTGTCTGAGGTGACCTTTGCAGTTGATAAGCCATTTCCTGCAGTAGATGCCAGCTGGTTTTCACTGCATTTTCTCAGGCTTTTTAGACTGAGTTATTCCCTTTTCTGAGGATATTGCAGCATTGCTAATGAGACGGGCATTTCTAGGCTGAATGTTGTATTGTGATATAGCCCAGCTTCTTTGCTTGCCAGTCTGAAAGGCCAGATGAAGTACATGGTAAAAACCTCTTTATACGAAAAGCCTGTATCTGTTCGTATGTGGATACTGTACTTCAGAAGCAGGGCCCTTTAACCCCTGTTAAAGTTACTCTGCCATTGACTACGATGAAAACTTGATCCCTTAATTTATTATGTAAATATTATTTAATAAATCAAATGAGAAATACAGGTTGTCCTCTTGTACTGTTTTTATGTGCTTTATGTGCTTAATTTTAAAAATTAACTTCTTTCATGAATTCTAAATTCTTTCATGAATTAGCTAGGACTGAACAAACTTTACAGAATGGGGCCGAGGTACATCTAATACCACAGAAATAAGTATATAGAAAATAATATTGACCAATATGTGAATAAACTGAAACTGTGTATCACTTATATAATTTATAAAACTTAAAAGCTACATTCTTACATTTTATCCAGAAACTTTACTCTCAACAGGTTTGGGAAGGCAAAGTCCACACTGTGTGTTTATTTTGTTATCTTGCCAGGGATACAAATCAATGGTACGCAAGTATAAATGTTTAAATGTACAGTAATTTCTTGCTATAACTGTGAAAATTAACATTAAATAAGTTTGCATTGGCACTATTACAAGACATTAGTCATTCCAGGATATTCTGATTTTTCAGATGCAGAGTTTAGCACAAAATCAAGTAAGCTCCACAGTATTTGCACGAGCTTGCAATTTTTCTAACGGCCAAATTAACAGACGGCCAGATCCTGTGTTGCCATAGCAGTGTGCATTTATGTGTGTTTTGCTAGGCTGCACTGCGGGCAAGACGAGCACAATGAACACATCTGAGTTACCAACAAAATTTACTGCTAAATACCATACAAAACAATTCCCAAATGTTGTGCATGAAAGTAGATGCAAACATCTTTGCATAAACACATTGTTGCTCTATTCCACTGTCTTTGTGAAGTTGGAACAAACAATATGTATGATAACGATATATCGGTTAACAAAATGATGTCGCCAGGTGATATTTAAACTTTGTGAATATTTAAAATTAGCAGCATCAGAGCTAAAGACGACGATTAAGATAACGGACATGATGGCATTGGACAATCGCCGTTTTCTGTAGCGGAGGGAGGGCAGGGATTTTCTCTGGTCATTAGTCACCAAGTACCAGCTGCAACATACTTATAATTTTTTATTAAATCTGGCTCATATATTGATCTTTTGTTTTCCACTGAATAAAAATCAATGTAATTTTACCATTCTGAATGAACAGAAAATGTGCACCTATCCTCTTGCTACTCGGTTTTCCTCATTGTGCTGCACTGTGACTTAGTGCTGTATTCATTCCTGTCTTGAATGATAGGTTGCCTTTTGTAAGATCAATAGATTTGAATGTGCAGTACTTTCAAAACCAGCGATTTTTTTTTGCTTTTACTTGAATAGTATTTTACTGAAAGACCTTTACTTTTCGTGTGGTACTTTCACTTAAATATTTCTTTGGGGAAAACCCTAATCCCAACACGATGACCTTAACCCCTACCCAACCCTAACCATAACCACACTTTTTACTTTTTTGATTGCATTTACAGATCTTTGTCGGGACCTGGAAAAAATGGTCCCCACAATGTCAAAATAGGTTATCACATTACGGGGGCCAACAGTTTGCATTACCCCAAGAGTTTGTTCTTCATCATCCATCATCCATCCATCATCATACCTGTTCTTTTGGTGATGGTTGCCTTGGCCACAGCTCTTACCAAGGCCAACCTATCTAGCTCTTTCTGTGGATCCTCAGATAAGGGATATAATTCCCTTGGAAGCTGATCAGGTATCATCCTTATGAGATGCCTGAACCACCTCAGCTGGCTCCTGCAGCAGAGCAGCATCTCTGTTTTGATGTCCATCCAGATTTACACAATCCTGTCATGCTTGGCAACCTTGCAGTCAAACCTCATTTCGGCACCTTGTACTTGTGACCTCGTCCTATTAGTCACTCCCCGCAGCCCACGCTGGGTGGACGGCAAGTCTCCTCTAACACTTCACCCCCACGGTCGTGCTCAGTGCCTGCAAAGCTGCAGTGACCACAGTGCTGCCCTGCAATCCCTCCTTCCCTAATACTCCTCAATAAGATACTGAGGCACTTAAACTGGGCAGATTCTGAGCCACTAAGGGCAGATTCTCCTCCTCACTAGAACTGTGAAAGGAATCCATTCTTTTATAAAAGAGCACCAAGGGTGAGGAGGTGCTAATTCTCATCACCACTTCACATTTGGCACTAAACCACTCGAGTGAATGCTGGAGTTCCTCACTGGATAAGGCCGAAAGTACAACACTCTCTTCAAACAGCAGAGATGTACCCTCAAGCCCCCTATTCAAGGTACCCTTCCAGAGATAAATTAATTACAATTGCTAACATTAACACTAAATGTAATAAAAGGATTTCTTTCTTCTTTTTTATGCATACTGAAGTAACTTCAGCAAAACACCTCTCAAGGATTAAACCAAAACAAAAAAATAAAAACTAAGCTTGTTCTAATGATAACCTAGTCACTGGGAAAGCAACAGAGCTTCTGAATTCGGAATCACTAAGTCACTGGGAAAGCAACAGAGCTTCTGAATT